CCCTTGTCTCGTTTTTTGACTGCTACGCTGATCTAACCACTGACTGATACAACAGCAGCGGTGCTGATCACTTGAGAATGATCACCGATACCTGTCATCATCCAATCACAGCCCCCCTCACGCAGAATACGTTAAGAAAATCAGAAATCGTGAACATAACTGTTCGAGGAAGGCTGCGCAATCCTCAGCCGGCTCATGACTCCCGCGTCACAGCAAGCGGCGCTCGCACTAACGCCAATTCCCATATTAAATCTATAAGCTGTCTTTAATAGAAAAATACGCATTTTCGTGCATATTGCATATGTGTGTGTGTGTGTGTGTGTGTGTGTACACGGTCACGCACCCCCCACAAACCAGTCTTAAATCGCTGGGGTATATTTGTAGCAATAGCCAAAAATACATTGTATGGGTCAGAATTATTGATTTTTCTTTTATGCCCAAAATCAGTAGGATATTAATTAAAGATCGTGTTCCATTAAGATATTTTGTAAATTTCCTACTGTAAATATATTAAAACTTAATTTTTGATTAGTAATATGCATTGATAAGAACTTCATTTGGACAATTTTAAAGGCGATTTTCTCAATATTTAGATTTTTTTGCACCCTCAGATTCCAGATTTTCAAATAGCTGTATCTCGGCCAAATATTGTCCTATCCTAACAAACCATACATCAATGGAATGCTTATTTATTCAGCTTTCATGATTTATAAATCTCAATTTCGAAAATTTGACCTTTATGACTGGTTTTGTGGTTCAGGGTCACAAATGTCACAAGATGCACGAGTCCTTGAACATAAAAAAATCACTTTGAACAGCAAAAGATTGTTTTTTGAACTTAAACGTAGTTACCAATTATTCAATGGGCCTCTCTCTATCACAGGGTGAGTAAAATGGATAACTCTTCATATATTTGTGGTCACATCACCAATGTTGTTTAAGGTTGCAAACAAGGGGTGGCTCAACTTCCCCACAGGCTCAAATCACCCCGCTCTCCCCTGCTCACCCTTATGTTGTTCCAAACTGTAAGACCTTCGTTCATCTTCGGAACACAAATTAAGATTTTTATGAAATCCAAGAGCTTTCTGACCCCGCATAGACAGCGAGGGAACGACCACGTTCAAGGCCCAGAAACGCAGTAAGGACATCATTAAAAAAGTCCATGTGTCAACCGTAATTTTATGAAGCAACGAGAATACTTTTGCGTCATGGTACTCTCGTGAATGGCGGCAGAGACTGGCAGGGAAGAGAAGAATTGGTGAATAAAGTCGTTATTTTAGTTTTCTTTGTGCACAAAAAGTATTCCCATTAACATTTTATCGAGAAAAAGAAATTACTCAAATCAATGTCTCATTTCCACGTACTTATTTATTTAGTGAGTGAGTATCTAATCCTTTTGACAAATTAAACCATTTCTGAGTAATAAAAGACCCTTACATATTAGGCTGGGATGGGAGAACATATTTTGACATTGAAAAACATTTTTATACACCTCAGCAAGAGCTAAAATGATGTTTCCTAGAAGAGGCAATTGCTTTGGTCTGAGGAAAAATTAGCAGTGCTAACTCTTCTCTGAATTATCGGAAACATGAAACGCAAGGAAGATGCTCAAGGAAAACAGAATGAGAGCAATCAATAGACAGAAAGGCTGTCAGTCTGATTAACTGAACCATCCCTCCCTTGGTTGCAGGAACAAAGACCTCCACAGTAGGAAAGTGATTAAGATGGAATGCCTACTGCAGAGAAGAGCATAACACTGACATAATGCTTCTTTTATGTGTCAAGTGCCAATTAAACTCACACAGAACAGAAATACTGAATCCCTAAAAGGAACCTAATCTTATCTAATATAGTTGTAATTAGTTGTAGTTTGCTGCTGCCCCCTCTAAATCTGGAGAGGTGTTGTCAGGTCATGTACTGAGAGGCTGGAGGTCCTGGAAGCCGGTCCTGTCAAGTTCAGGTTAAACATCTGCTCCGGTGCTTCAAAGGAACAGAGCTGAATAAAGGCACCTCCCTACAGAACTCATTATCCCAATCTTGATTCACCACAGAACAAGCTTGTCTGAGTGGAAGCATTATTAGCTTATTCTCACATCTCAGCACTTTTTTCTTTTTCTTACCTCACATTTTTGTTTGTTTTGGTAATCAGGAGCCAAATGACCAGGTTTCGGGTTTTGTTGATTATATTTAAATACTGATGAAAAAGTATGGTACATGGTTTGGTATGACAAGAGGGTGAGCAAATATTTATTTATTTTTAAAGGTCTAATGTTTTAGATGCAAAAATATAGTATCATAATATCTCCTAAAATGTATGGTATGAAACATTCATAAAGTTATGGAGCATCTCCTCAACTTGAGAATGCAAACATTATACTGCACATGAATGAAATTTTTATCAGTGTATATGTTCTTCAAGGCATATTTTGCACATTTGCATCTGAATACAATATATACGCATGAATGTATGCATGGTGGCATCAGCAATAGCCCTTAAGCTCGTGTCATGACCAGCATGACGGCTTATCAACTAGCAGCTCGGGGGCCAAAAAACGCCCTGTTAGGCATTCTTACACAATTCATCGATTGAGTTCAATAAATCACTGCACTGCTAAATACATAAGAGAATTTCTTCACAAATCTCAGCAGTGAGTTCTAAAGTCCTCTGTATTTGTCTGTTAGCAGACTTCTGTCCATAACCGGACCAAAGCAAGCAAACATTGTTCTGTAGAGCTATTCAGGTTTTATTTTAGATGCACTTTGGATTACATTATCCAATCAAATGTGTTTATTCAAATAGCATTGCTGCAGTGAAATGCAATACTAGGTACTTGCTGAGTACTGCAGAGTAAATACTGTATTCTGCATACTTAATATATATATATAATATCTGCAGTACTCAGCAAGTATCTAGTATTCCATATATAAACACACTATGCAACAATAAGCTACATTATTGCCACATGTCCTTGTGACATTATGTTACATGTTTAATTCAGCAAGGGGCATACCAATTATCATTTTGGAAAAAAAAGTAATTTTGCATTTCTCATCAAATTTTGTCAGTCATTTGTCTGTAAGACACATTAACAAGTTAAAAAAGTGAGCTTAACACTGAGATCCAGTTTATCCATCAAACTCGAAATGTAAAATCAAGTCAGCCGAATTGCATTATGGGACACATTATTCCAAACTGTAAGCTGCTGTATAATGCACATTTTGCCAAATCTATTAAGCACTTTCTCCATACAGAAAACATATGTACTGTGCACAGTAAACATACTATACATTCCAGAAATAGTATAATAGTACACTATATGAATATAGCAACAAAACTTGGGTACTCTGATGCTGTTTTATATACTCATACACTACATTTTTTATGCTACTGTCTTCATATTAAACTGCTAAGATACGATAATTACTCTGAAAAATGTTTGGCAAAGACTGTCTTCAAAGACTGCCAAAGGCACCTCTAACATGCATTCACTCACGTTTTCTAATCACAATTGTAAATTGTAAGCATTTGTTCCAATCATCAAGCATGGAAATTCTCCCATTGGCTTGTCCTTAGTGGAAAGTAAAGCGGTAAGAGAGCAAAAGAGGAGATCAAGCGTTGAGCTCAACTGTGCGCATGTATGATGAATACAAGATGAGTGCTGTGGACTAAAGGTCTATAGGTCCCAAACACACATGCTGCACTCATCTGCCAACACATCAGACACCCCACTGGGCATAAGCGAACATGTTTGTACGAGTCAGTATCAGATTATGATGAAGAAAAAAAGGTACAAAGCTGTCACTGGGGCAGTACCCTAAGTGCAAAAGCTAAAAGGTACATCTTACACCTTATTTACCCTCAAATGGTACATATTAGTACCTCAAAGGAATACATTACTATTTTAAATGTACTTGAGTACTTTAAAATTTCATGTTACAAAAAGTGTACATAACAGTACCTTTTTAGAGGGTACCGCCCCAGCATTTTGCGCTTGTATACACTGGTTTAATGCTAAATCTTCAAACTGTGCTGAGACAAATTAGCTTTTTTAAGTAACTTTTTAAATTTGCTTCCCTTTCAGGTTTAGTTGTGTCTCGAAGGCTTTGTGATCTCACTTTTGAGTCATCGATAAAACATACTCAAGTGGGTGGCATATAAACTAAAGCCAATGTGCTGTCCTCAAACCAAGCTCTCACCTTCAACAAAAAAGTTTGAATATGAACACAATTGCATTTAAGCCAATGCAGCATATAAATACACAAGCTTAAGTAAATAGTCATACGGTGTGTGGGTACAAAGATTCATATCTGCGTCTGAGAAGGTCATCTTCATAATGAGAATTAACACATCTACAGTTCCAGATCATACCTCACAGTGGAAACGCATGCATAAACAACACTGAAAACACAGTTATACAATGAATTTATTAAAAAAACATATGGTGTGCACATACACAAAAGTACACATGCACAGACAATGAGTGAAACCACCACAATGACTAAAAGAAGAACGAAAGCATTCGTAATACAAGAACAAACACAAAAATCACTTTGAGGATGTATGATTTAATGACTGAAAACAATATCTGAATATACAAACACAACATTGAAATTTAATTTCAATTACATTAACATACAAAGACAAGTATTAATATTTTGCATGCAAATCGTGACTCTACTACGTAGACTTGACAGATTCTACTAGATAGAGTTAAAAAAATATGAAAGCATGTTGAGATTAAAGTAGGAAATGTTTCTCCTGGCGACACTGAAGTTGATTGTTAAAACTCTTTATTGGGGGTATTTCAGGACGTTCTGGATGTACTGGCTGACAGGGGAAGGACAAATGTGAACTGAGAGCTTTTAGATGAGCTAACTGGAATGTACACTCTAATTGAAAAGTCACACAGATTATGGTCTTGTCAATCTGGTGAATAATTTAACAGAAGAGTAGTGGATTCAATCATTAGGACGTTCACAGTCACACAGCACACACTCACCAGTTCTTTCTTCTTCATGCACTCCATCAGAATGATGAAGAGATGCTGGGCCTGCGTCCGGCTGTACGTAAACGTCTTCTGAATGGTGACTAATAACTGGTCTCTCAAAGATTCGTTTATGATTCTAACATGTAGTCAGAGAGAAAGATGAAACTGGGATATCACAGCAAATCATTTATGCAATGAAAATATTCCAACAGAGCATAACAGTAGGGTTCCGGAAAGAAAAAATCCCATTAATTTTCTCCATAGACAAACTGCTTTTTAATGATAACATATGACCCTTTCAAAAAAAGACCCACCACAACTCACATCAAACCTCTTTTTTTTTGTTAAATTGTGTTTAACATCTAAATACTCTGTAAAGATCTACACTACCCACAATCCTGAAGAGAAATCGTCCTTGGAAATCCTTGAAACGAGAACAGTGGCAACCTCAGTAACCTCATGATGTATTGCAGATGTCATAAATTGGTCTTTTTGTATATTTACAAATATATTTTGTACATATTTAAATGTTCTGCAGTACATGATAAACATTAGGGCTTTGAATCAACTAAACATTTTGTGTATATTTAAAGACTTGGCATTAAATGGTAAAAATTAGGTCTGTGAATCGACTAATAAATTTGAATTAATTACTCATACAGGTTTCTGAGATTAATTGTGATTAATCAGGTTAGGTTCATTTAATCGCAATTAATAACCAAATAACACTGACATTTTTAATCATTAAAATATTCATACAAAGGAATTGGGGAAGTGAAATAATCTGCTACATTGTGTTAATTATTTTTAACATGTAAAAACTGTGCAACATTAATTGCAGAAATCTGAAAAATTATATATTTTAAAATATATAATAACCATTGGTGTAATGGTTCAGTTTAATTGTAAAGAAAGGTGATTTTGGTTATATGTTGACCTTTAAGCGCCCTCTTGTGGCGAGGATCGTGTATGGTAACTTCCGTATGACTCGTGTTGAGTTGAGTTCATTGTGAAGTGTCATGGCTGAAGAGCGGCTCGTACGGTGAAGTCGTTACCCGCATAAGGCTGTATGTCGCTATTATTTGTCATATAAATATGACGTTTAGTAGGTTAAAGATGTTTGACAGTAAATTCATTAATCTAGAGATGCAAATGTGCTAAAAACAAAACGTAAAGTGCAAAGTGCGAGCTTTAGGTAGCGCCGTATGCTAGCGGTCTTTTGTTATGATTATTAGGTTAATTTGTATTTCGTGATTACAAGCCATTACCTAAAATTAAGAATATAATTACCAGATGTACATGACAATGTAACGTTTAATGATTTAAGGTTTCTTTTGAATGCTTTTAGGCAGTAAATACTGCTCAGTCAGCTATGCACTTTGAATATGTAATTTGAATACAATTCTAATTGCTGTATTTTCTATGTCTGTTTACAGTTTTACAATGTTAAAGTTAAACGAGAAAAGATTCATGAAAGCTACTGGAAGATTAAAAGCCATGAACCAACATCTCGCCTGTTCACTGTCTGTCTAGCTGGATAGAGAAGTTACACGTCTAGTGAGGACAGAACAATTGGCTATAAATCAATAGTTCTATATTATTAAAAAAACATACAAATATTTTTTTTAAATGTCCATTTTTGCGTAATTTGCAGTGTTTTATGGGATGAGTAGTTCATCAGTTCAGTAGTTAAAAAATATTTAAATACATAAAAAAACAACATCAGGCACATCATGTCTTTATCTCCAATTCCACATTCCTTTTTGTAATGCTTTGTGATTAATCTCAGAGCTGTTTGGTTTGGTTCATGTCTTAGAAGTTCTTATGGAGAAAATGAATGGAGAAAAAAAACTGCTGAAAAAGTGCAGTTTTTCAGCAGTAACCGTTTACTGTTGTGCTCTATTCTGTGCTACGGTTCAATCTTCATATATATGTAAATGAAAATTCATATCTTATCGTACTGTTACAGTGGAGAGAGATAAAGCTCACATACCCGCCCTCCTCTGAGTACTTATGCCCAAAGGCCAGGATGTCAGAGGCACGACCGCTGCCGTCACACACCACCACAGGCACAGGAGGAGTGTCTCTCAGGTACTCAAGCACGATAGAGATCACATTAGGACCCCCCTCCACTATTAGAGCCACCACTGGAACACCCTGTCCGATCCCTGAGGAGAAAACAGAAACGTGAGAGAGAAACGTGAGTGAGAAAGTGTATACATGTGTGGCCGCGGGACTGGTTGTTACAAGGAAAACCAATCAAAAAGATTAAAGGTGAAGTGTGTGTTTTTTCCCCTATGCCAGTTTAATGTGCAGAGACAACTAGAGGTAAGCCATTCATAAAGAGTGTAAACACTGTGCTTATGTGGCGCTTTGTTTGTTTGAGCAGTCTGATATTTCTGTCTGACTTAACCAACGGTGTGCATTTTGGTCAGCGCTACCTATAATAAGCTATTTACAGGGAATTTATTCGTTTGAAGACAAGCAAAGTGGAAAGCGCAGAAGGGGTGCTGGGAATGTTTGGAAAAACAATCATTATTTTCAAAATTCCTTTTGTGGAACAGAAATTACACACTTCACCTCTAAAGGGTTAGTTCACCCAAAAAATGAAAGCTCTGTCCTCATTTATTTACCATCATGTCGTTCCAAACCTGCATGACTTTCTTTTTTCTGTGGAACACAAAAGAAGATACTGAAATGAATATATCAACTGCTTTTGTTCTTGTAATGATAGCTAGTGGGGATTTTCACTTTTGTGTTTCACAGGACAAAGAAAGTATGTATATGTAGGTAAAGTAGTCATTTTTGCGTGAATTAAAGGTAAAGCAAAAGGAAAAGCATATGAAAAGACAATTCAGAGTCATTTTGGTATGCAGAGGAACAGGTTATTCTGCTGATTGGCTGTTGTGACTGACCCTTTAGACATCCTTATAATAACCCAGTTGTGTCTGTCAACATGACACCGGACATCCATGTCGCAGTGAACAAAAGATATTCCTCAGATATTTCCCATGCTGAGTTCCTGACTCCTCACACCCTCTCCTTCCCCTAAGGTCTCAGTCAGTCATGCAAATTTCACAAACCTATAGTTTCAAGCTGTTTTATGTGTGGTCAATATAAATACTTCAGGTGTGACTGGTAAGGTGATTTCACTCTCGCATCAACAGAACAGGCAAGAATAAAGAAAACAAAACCTGTTCTTCTGATGTGGGAGATGCCCCAATAAAGATCTTTGATAACCATTTGTTTTCATCCCCAAAACTAGGTGGGTGACCTTTTGGGTTACGAGATCCTAAACAAACCAAAAGGTCTTTTATGCTTTTACAACTGATTTGAAGATTTCTTTGTTCTGGTCTGGGTATTTAAGTGAAGTGGCTAAACATTACTTGGCGCTTCTGTAGCCAGAAAGCCCGTAGTGTGGTGTGTGTCTCTGCACTCCATACTATGTATCTTCCTGAGTGTGCTTTTTGTTATGAGCAAGCAGAGCGGGGCCGACTTAAAGGTAGATATTCACCCTGCATCCTCTGTCTAAGATCAGAACTGACGAGTTTGTGTCCATGAGGCTGCGACTGGCCGGTGTAAGTAACCGGGTCCCTAATGAATGAATAATTAAAAGTAAGGGATGTTCGGAATAATCAAATATCTAAATTAATACATAATCGATATTTGTGATCAGTTCTTAATGAGGAATACAATCTAAATTTAATGATCACTTGAAATTGGAGTCAGATTAAATATGGAGCTAGATTAAAATTGAAACTAAATCCTGATAAATTAAGATAACTTTGCAGAAGCGCAAGTAAAAGACCTACACGCATTAAACCTTCAACCAGGCCGCTGGACTCTGCTTTTTGGGCCGGTGGGTGGATTCTTACAAGATACTCCACAGAGAAAGTGTTTCCCTTTTCTAATTTTTATCTGGAAAATTCAAGCACATCCCTATGTACTGAATTTGATGACCAAACAATTCCATTCCGATTCACAAGCTCTCAGATTACAATTGTGATTAATTTCGGTTGTAATGTCAATTCTGCTTACATATGAAAGAAACTCTCTCACTGATGATGCTTTTAAATGATAAGAGCTGTGTTTCAGACTGTTTCAAACTGTTATCTTTTCTTTACGAACTATTCATTAAAAGAATCACTCATAAGAAGGGGGGGGCACTAGGGGGGCTCAAAATAACTTAAAATTAAAGTATATTCAATTCACTAATTTTATGACTAATATGTTAAATAAATATACGTGTTTATATATATGTATTCTTTGTTTCAGAGCAGCTCGAGCCATTTCTCATTGTGCTGTGTGAAATACAGACTGAACAATGGCTCAAAACATCCGACTGCTGCATGAGCATATGATACGCAAACTACAGCTCTCAGCTAGTAAAGTTTTGATAGATGATGATTGTAATCATGATGATTGACGATTCAAACACAGATGCGATCGCATGTTCTGACAGAGAAACTGTTCACTGATGGCTTCGAGCCTCCTTCAGATCAGCTTAAATTTTTCATTTGTTTTTTGGTGTGTTTAGTGATTCTGAATGGATCTGTATAGTAGTTTATATGCAGTCTTTTGGCATCTCCCTGTGGTCTTGTTTGGTATGGTAGGATGACTTGTGCTTATTTGTTAAAGTTACTTTACAATTGAGCTTTACGTACGTTTAAGTTGTAAAGAATATCTGCAGTGACATTTTTGCAAAGTGTGTTTGCAAAAAAGAACACTGAATGTTTAAATCTATCTTAAATTTGTTTTGTTTAAAAATAATTACATGGAATTGTAAAGTAATAACACTAGAATACAAAAGTTTTGTAAATAGAAAAGGTTAGGAGGCTTTGCATTATTGATCTGGAGAGGAGCTGGGCCTTGGAGACAAAAAGGTTGAGAACCACTGCTGTAAATTATAAAGAGCAGCGTTTCAGACTGATTTGTCTTTCTGAACTACTCATTGAACTACTTATAAGTTTAATTTTTGGAATCAAGCTACAGTGTTTTTAGTGCACACTGAAATGCAACATTTATTTTGCTGTGCAAGTACACACTGAACAATCAGATCATTTCTGCATTCAATAATCAGCTGCAGTTTTCAGCAATTTAATTAAAAGGTGTGCATGCAGTGAGAGAGGACCTGTGGGAGCGTCGCTGAACAGGACAACGACAGATCAGTCCTACTCCTGCACTCTGACTCTTTCCTACAACTTGATGAGTACAAGTTATGTTGTGACTATAATTCAAAAAGCATGTTGCAGGTACCATTGCCTAAATTATGCAAAGTGAGATAAAGAAAGAGGAAAGGAGGGAAAATGAGAGAAAGAGGCAGACAGAGAGGTACACCAGATCCACATGTGCTGTCATCATTGTGCCTAAAATGGGTACGGTTACATAAAGTGTCTCTATTTTTAGCAGCACACAGAAACTGCTGCTCAGCTGGTAAAGAAATCAGAAACAGTGGGATTTACTTCTTCATTCCAAACCTCTTCTTCCCACTGTTATCTCTCCATGCCTCTTGTTTTCTCTCTTTATCATTTTCTGTTTTATTGAGGCAAAATTTATTGATCAGAGAGCCCTTTCTGCCATGATATTTGTGGGCTTCCAGGAACACTCGGTTGTTTCCCCACACTAACACACACACACACACACACACACATATACACACACACACACACTCACGCACGTGGCAGTTCGCTCCCATTCAGCATGGCTGTCACTCTGTCTAGCCTAGCTCTTATGTTACAACAGGACAAGACATATATTATTCATCTGCCATCGTTTGTTCTCAAAAAGTAAAAAGCCAAGGACATGGTCTTTTTCTATTCAAAAATGTTTCATGATATATTATAATATCTTTCATGATATTTTCTAAGTTCTACCATTCACTACATGGCATTTTAAACCATTAATTTATGATTTGTACAGTGCAGTGTACAGTTTTGTTCATATGTAATTGGGTTTCTAGCAACCAAATACCAGCTAGTAATGTATTCTGTGATATTCCTGCTGTAAATACCAGTTCAGATCAGCATGGATTTCAATGCTGGTCCAAGCTGGTTTATGTTGGTTTGGTGGTGGTCTAAATAGTGGAACAACAGTCATGCTGGATGTCTTTATATAGGGATGTGCCTGAAGCCAAATATCTGATATGATATCTATGATGATACTGGTTGTCCAAGAAAATCTTGCCTGTTAAGCCAGATAAAAAGCCTGGTCGGAAAACCAATATCCAAAACAGAACATATGATGGTCTTTTCAGCAGGGATACCCTGTAACCACAGGCACTGTAGCAGATGCTAAGAAAAGTTCATTGGGGGAAAGTAATATGGGCCAAAGGTTTCCAATTTGGGTGTGAAGACCAATAAACATGCTGTCACAAGTCTCAAAGAGAGAGAGCGAAAGACCAGTCCGAAGAGAAAATTAAAAGATTAGAAAAGCAGATGAGTGTTTGCTTGTGCTATTTAATTACAATCTCACTCAAACCTAAATTTTTCTTTCCAACAAGCCTCAGCAGGTTCCAAAGAGTCTTTGAAAAGAATCTAGGTGGGCAGGGGTGACAGTGTTTGTTCTAACGGCCGATATCTTCATCTGCCAACTACATCAGTGGCCAGAGAAAGTAAACAACTCAAAGGAGAGTCATTTTTGGAATCATACAGTCATTTGCCATTTAATCAGAGAATGTCAGACGTGTGCCCAGCAGCAAGTCAAATGACTTCTTAAAGCTTCTATTAACATCATCAAAATCCTCATCATCCCTTAATTTTCTTTAGCAGATCATCTATTAAAAAGGAAGAAATAATAAAGTTTGTTATCTCTCATTAAGTTCAGATGCATTCAGAAGCATGATAATGATGATGCTGGAAATAACTGGAGGGTTATAGTAGTTAAACACAAACAAAATAACACAAAAGGCTGTAAACAAGATTTTAAAAGTCTGAGTTGTTGAGTTTCAGAAACGTGGCTTTCTGTGACGATCCCCCTGCCAACCACTTGATGGTTCCCCTGCTATGTTTCAGACACAGTGATGAGTCCTGTGCCTCCAGCTAACTCCATAACCTCTTCACATTTACCAATTGACCTACGGCACCACCACGAGAGGACGGCAGGCCCAGCATTAATAGAACACAAGCCCCTGTGCTCTGGGAGAGGAGAATGAGGAGAGGAGGGGTGTTACGGACACAGGGATGGGTTGATTTGTATGCCCCTCTGCCAAGCATGTAGATGGAAGATGAATCTCAATTTTTTAGACCCGTGGAAAAAAACGGACAGTTTATTCTGTCACTCTCAATCTATTTCATTTACACCTTGTGTGAACAATCCTATCCCCTGCATGGCAGTGACAAATGCAGTTTATTTATTTATTCAAGAGATTAAACACAACAGCTAGATGCAACATCCATGTCTAAAACTGGTATAATGTGTGATTGTGAATATAACGGCCAAACAAACAATGATCAAGAACTCAGAGTGAGGAAGAAAACATTTACTATTCATTTGGTTCTATCTGTGTGGGCTAAACTTTGATTTGGTCCAGAGTTTTCTATCTCCAATAACTGCAAATACTCACATTACAAGCTTGTTAGACCGTTCATCATCATAGTACAGAAAATTTCACACAGAGTATAATGTTAAAAAAGTCAAGCATTCAAAAATAAAAATGCTATCATTATTTACTCACCCTCATGTCAATTATGTTGAATAATGACTTACATTTCAATGTAGTTACACACAAAAAAAAAATAAATAAATAAAAGGCTGCATTTATTGGATCAAAAATATTTTTGTGAAATGTTATTACAATTTTAAATAACTGTTTTCTATTTTATTTTATTTTAAAATCATTTCATTATTTTAATTTATTCCTGTGATGGCAACGCTGAATTTTCAGCAGCCATTACTCTAGTCTTCAGTGTCACATGATCCTTCAGAAATTATTCTAATATGCTGATTTGGTGCTCAAGAAACATTATTATTATTATTATTATCAATGTTGAAAACAGTTGTGCTGTTTAATATTTTTGTGGAAACTGTTATACATTTTACAGGATTTTTTTTGTATTAATATGTAAGTTCAAAAGCTCATAATTTATTTAAAATAGAATATCTGGCAACATTATAACTGTCTTTACCATCACTTTCTTTAAAAAAAAAAGAAGAAGAAGAAGAAGAAGAAGAAGAAGAAGAAAAACAATCTTACTGACTGTCTATGGGTTTGGTGAGTACTGACTGTTCCTATAATTGCTGATAAATATTTAAAGGAATATTACAGATTTATACAAGTTTGTGGCATTGACAGACAATATTTTCTATTCGTCCCTTAGTTAGTAAAAACATACAAAGAAAAAAACTAAGTAATGCACTTATGATGGAATACTAAGGAGAAAGTACATCAGAGGGTTTAAAACAGAAATGTGAAAGCTTGTATTTTTGTAAAAGCCATAACATCAATTATTCAGTTAAAAAAGTTTATTTTATCTCTGCTATTGTTTAAATAGTCATTTTGTGACAAGACTATGTTCTTATGAGGATGAACCTCTGGTTATGCATTACTGATATTCCTGTAAGCGGAGTTTGCTCCATGTAACCAGATTCTATGTAACTCTGCACAGAAAAGGTTATTGATTGAATCAATCACACTCATGCTAAAAGTGTCATGTTTAAGAGTCACTGTTATACTTTCAAACTAGTTATATATTTTCTGTAGCCTTTACTTGTCCATAGTCTACCATTATAAGTGCAACGGCTCTTGTACATACAATTTTCCTGTTTTTACAAACTGGTACTAGGAACTTGTTGAAAATATCTTGTGCAAATCGACAAGATTTGTAGCAAGAGCTTCCTGGAATATTTCTTTAAAAGGGTAAAAACATTCCTATCGAATAAACCTTTAAGAGGGTGAAAAAAAGCCACACAGCACCCAGTCTGTCTGGTCAATACAGCAGCTACTGCTCCATTATGCCAACGTGATGGGACCCACAGAGACCAGCAGCATGGAACAAAATCCAGAAATAAACCACCAAAGTAAAAAGACCAGCTCATCATCTCATCACTTGGAGACCCAGTTAGTGCAAGGGAAAGCTAAACAGGTTTCTAGGCTAGAAACACCACAGTTTGACATGACTTTTAATCAGGGTGTGAATATGACTGGCTAGATCATTGAATAAAAGTATTTGCATGAAATTCATACAAATGTAATGCAAAAAATTGAGAATATTAATTTACATGTTCATGAAATTATGGCAGGGGAAAAAATTCATTCAACAAGGATGAGTGTAGGATGATTATGCTTTAATCAATATATTATTAAGGCAAACAATCAGAAACATTTGCAAATCTAGTTCTTATAGAATTTAGTTTTAAATTATAAAAAGATAAGGAGTAAGATGACCCCCAACCTGGGTAAAAAGCCCCCAGGATAAACATACTGTCACCTGATTTGTGCAGAATATATAAAATACATCTAAAACTTAAAAATACATTTAAATGTGTCAAATTTAAAATATTAACTCAAATACTGCAAGACCGAACCTACAAACTGGGGAATTGTGATGTACAGTTTGTGTATTTCTACTGTATTCACATAATTCCTTAAGTGAATCAGTTGCTAAAATAACACTGAGCATATACCAATAAACAATGCCATCAGTGGCCGCAAATTATTATTACCAAATTCATCCTTGATTAGTAGTCTACAATTTCTCAACATCCATCCTAATTCACATCGGACGGTTTACTCTATTCCTCATGTGGACTAGGGATTAACTGCTGATTCCAATCAAGCTGCACCTAATTGTGTACAGCTGAATTGATTCTCATCCCATTTTATCCTGCAAGGAAATCTTCATTGCATCCTGTGCACGCTAATCTTTCCCTCATCTGCGAAACACTCAAAAAAGCCCTCCTCATTAGCCCAACAACAGCAAGCACAGCTCCGTAATTCATTTTAATCCAGTACCGCTGCAGTGCTTGTCAGACTGTGAATATGTAAGCCGGCCCGCAGCCTGCTGCAATTCTTCCAAAACAAAGAGATTTGATTCCATGTTTGAGGGTCTCTGTAGCTCTGTGAGCCTCATGGTGATGGCTCAGAGTGTTATTGATGTTATTCTAATGTTAGAAAGGACAGGTAATAAAATAAAGAAATGAGCTCTGCCCAAAGCCAGAGCAAACACCACCATCACACAGCTGATGCAACAGAGAGAGAGAGAGGGGTGGCTGCAGGCTGAGATACGGCTCAGATATATGAAGCTCCTGTCATGAGTGTGATGTCAGAGTAAACTGGTCTTATCGCAGTCTGAATATGTGTTGTGAATGTGCCACGGGATGATTTAATGAGTTTAAACATGTTTCATCTGTTCGGCTTGCATGGCTCAAACATGTTTGAAGTCTGAAATTTCCACATGCTAGAGGGTTGGATGTGTTTTCTTGAAGAGGAGATTTTGCCTGTTTAAATGTCAAGGCACTTGCCGGTTTAAATGCTGATTGTTTTAAGTTATCCGTTTACATGCAGCTTCCTATGGATGAATCAACGTGGGTGAAGCTGGTGTCATTTCTGATGCGAATGATGACGCCTGAGCGTCCCTTTGACTTCCCAGCCCCCTCTATTACTCCAGGCATAGGATGACAAAGGGAAGTCCACAGGTCACATGACAAAGGGAGGGAGGTCAAACTCTGGCTCACTTCCTGTTGACCTTGTGCTGTGCATGGCAGGTAAATGAAATGGCTCATTTGATGCTGTGGAAGAGTGTTACTACTGTGTTTATGTAATAAACTGGCTAAATTATAAAAATATTTTTTATATATATAAATAAATTAATTAATGAATTAATATATAAATAAAAAATTGATTAATTAAAATTAATTAAATTATGAAGATGCACAAAGTTAGAGAATGTAGTATATGCAGTATGCAGTTTTTCTTTTTTTCTGGGGCAAATTCACTTCACTAAATGTGCTGAAACAGTGTCATGCTGTAATTAACTAATTTTTATTCTTTTCAGTTTTTATTTTACGCTTTCTATTTTATGTGAATAAGATTGCGCCATATTCACAACTTAACACTATTAGCCTGCCATAATTACTGTTGTATTATTGTTGCTCATGGAAAGCAAGCTGAAACGGCAATTTGATTTAAGAGATGTTTCTATACAGTTGCCACTGATAATGGAAGCATTTCTCAAATTACAAATTATGTTATAATCGAGCATATACTGTATATGGGCGCAGGATAGAAATCTTATGAAAGTATGACAACTATTGAAAGTATGCATGAGCAGGTCATAAGCAGTGTATAAAAGGCACTTTTCAATGGCCCTAAATGATCCACATGAGCACAAACAAAACGGGGGCATCCTTTTTGTGTGTTCATGATTTACTGCATTTTCACTGGCTCTAATCTGAATGTGTTCCTTCAGCTGAATGAAGTTTATTTGATATCTTTATGCGAGTAAATGGACTGTATGGATATTATCTGGTGGAGTGCAGTTGAAGAGGCCTTTGCGCTCTGAATCTTGCAACTCGTGTAGCATTTTGACGTTGAGCCACAAACTGATCTAGGCATTTCTGACAGGAATATATAGAGAAACTCCTCTGTGGGCTTTTGAAGATCAGCACAACAGAGCCTAGAAATAGTAACTGAGGATAGAAGGCTATTATAACCTCTCTTGAAAAGAATTTAAAAGCACCATTGAATTTGCAGTTTGGAGTAATTACATTAACATTAGCATCTCTAATTTCCCGCAAATGTACTTACGTGTGTTGATCTTTTGTAGAGAGATGTGCTTCTCTAGCTGTCTGCGCAGTTTGACTTCTGCTCCATACTTTCCGGTGGTGCCATTATCAGCCAAAATGAAGTGGGAGTGTAGGCTGTTGAGCACCGTTAGCTTACTAAGAGGGTTAGACATCGTCTGGTACGGCCGGACCACCTGCAATACACACCACATGAAGCAAAAAGATGCTGTTCAGGGATGTTCAGGAAAAGAAGAATGAAACAAAGGTGAAAGTGGCATGTTACAAAAAGCGTCTACATGCACAAGTAGCATCCAGTAAACATAGTGAGCAATTTGGGGTCCAAAAATCTGAGATCACTAGTAAAAAAAATTGTATTTAAAATGCAAATAAATAAATAAATGCACTAAAAAGTTTGTGTAAAATCATGTTTTCTCAAAGAGTGTTTTATGCTTTAATGTGGGGGGGGACCAATGTAACGTAGTTTGTAGATCGGGAAGAAGGAGGCGGGAACCGGCGAACATTTAAAGATTTTAATAAGATAAACAAACACAAAATGAAAGTAAAGCGGCAGCCCCTCGCGGACGACTGCCGCACACAAAACACAAAATAAACTCCAGGCCTGGTCCTCTCTCCTCCAACACTGTCGTCACTCCTCCTTTATCCTTCCGGAGCTCCTCCTTGAGACTCGAGACCGGTGAGTGGGGCAGGTGTCATGCATTAGCATTTACTCCACCGGCCTCGCTCCGTTCCCACGGCTCTCGGCCCCGCCCCTCTCGTCACAAGCACATTTCGTGAAATTTGCCCTGACTTGAGCCAAACAAGGTCTTATTGGTCATTTAGAAAAACAAACTATACTAAAAGAGCCTAGTTATTCAATTTAGCTATAGTCGAGTCACTTACATCTTTGCCCACCAGGTCTTCCTGGTTCTCCACAATCCCCCAGGGTGCAATACCGATAGTACAGATCTTCCCTCTCGATTTGGAAGCGTGGTCTTTTAGAGCATCACCAACATGTCTTATGACTCCTGGGGTGGCAGAAGGGAGTAGAATGGAAGAGATAACCGATTCTCAGTGTGAGAGCTATCACACAATGCATCAAGGAAATTGAGAGCACACAGTTACACATGATCTTCTGTAGAAGTTTAGATAGTATCAGGCCTATAATTTTGCCTAGCATTGCTCAGAATCTTAATAAGAGTAATTTAATCAGAATCTTAATTAAACTGAAAGATACATGCATACTCTTGTACAGACCAGTATTGACTCCTCCAGTGAAGATCCAGGCCCCAGTGGTCATGGCCGCCTTGATGAGACCCTTGCCGAAGACTTGCTTGAGTTTGGGCTGCAGCTCGAAGTTCTGAAGTCCTCCATGAACAGAGATGAGCAGTTTGGGAAGCTCCAGCTGCCACTCCTTTGTCATCAGATGCAGCAGTAAGTCTGGCTTAGTGTCGTAAGACACTCGTACATACTGACAAAACATAAAAGTAAAATAATCTTGAGACGATCTTTAAGAGTACATCTAAGATGTTACAATATCATTCAAAAGTTGGAATCTGAGTCTGTAAGATGCTTTAATGTTTTTGAAAAAAGTATTTTATGCTTAACAAGGCTGCATTTATTTAATCAAAAATACAGTAAAACAGTAATATTATGAAATATTATTACAATTTAAAACAACTGTTTCCTATTTTAATATATTTTAAAATGTAATTTATTCCTGTGATGGCAGGCACTGAATTTTCTGCAGCCATTACTCCAGTCTTCAGTGTCAAATGATTGTTCAGATATTATTTAATATGCTGATTTGTTGCTCAAGAAACATTTCTTATTATTATCATTGCGGAATATTTCAGGATTCAAGCTGTACTTGAACACAGCCAGCAAGACTGAACTGTCATTTATAAATGTGATTAAGGTCAACATGAAATCAAAACTTACTTGGTGTTTCAAAAGGACAGAAAAGTTTTTCTCTGGAACAGGCTTTGGAATCAAATCAAAATGTAGTAAGACTTGCTGTTCCATTTAAACCACTGATGTCCTTAGGGTAGTGTTAAAGTATTACAGCCAAATTTCTGGTATGCAATGTCCACTTATCGTTATTCAATAAATTCCCAATTAATAAAATTGTCCCATCCTACACTTTGTCTTATTGAATATCCTCTTAAATACTGTACATCACTTTGCGGCAGTAAAATGGATAATACTTCAAAGCTGGCGGGATCTACAGACAGTAATAACTGCCTCACAAAAGGAATTTAATTCTAAAAGGTTCATGAATATTTTATCTTACTTATGTAATATTTTGTAGAGTTATCATCACTTTGAACATCAAACCGTTGTTAACAAGAGACTGAATAGGTCTACCATTGCTTTGTTGGAGTGTCCACCTCCCTGGAACTCAATGGTTCCAAAGGCGTCAGTGGGACTGAGCTGGGTGTGCTTGCTGATGGACCACTTCTCTGACAAGCTGTCATTCTTTGGCACACGCTCTGACTTCTCATTCTGATTGGATGAGATGCTGGGGGGCAGGCCAACATGTTGACCAATTAGACGGCCACAACAGCACCTGTGTCAGAAGACAACCAGTGAGAAATTAAGTGAATGTCCTTCAAATCAGAAGTCAAAATTGTCAGCAAGTGATCTACAAAGACATTATTTGAGGATTTCAAAAGTATTATAGAGGCTTTGAGATTTCAATTTCAGTGGCAGATTAATTATAGTAAAACTAACAAATTCTTAGCATCTTAAAAATTGTCTATAAAAGAAACAAGACATCTTTTACAAGTGTGACTGTATCTTTAGATGCTCTAATTTGTCTTTCATTAATAGTACAAACACATTTAGGTGCATCTAAATAGTTTAAATTTGCTATTTGTGTTATTAAAATGCACCATTTGCACAGACTACAGCAGAATTTGTGGTACTCACCTATGGTGGTCTTTGGTGCTTACAATAATGTGCACACATTCTCTCTTGCTGAAAGCTCTTTCTATCCATGATTTCTGTGCCTGTGGAGTAACACAATAGATATAAGTTACAGAAATCATTAGAGGTAGAAATGTCAGCTTCCTGCATCCACTTAAAGGGTCATGAAACCCCGTTTCAGCACCGGTTAGTTCTCACCACAATTTTGAAAAATGCTACAAAAGTGGGCGTGGTGCAGAGTGGAGGGGGAAGAGGGGAGACGGGCAACACAGCTTTGGTTTGTTTCAGACAGTTTAATTTCACCCCAATTGAGTTAAAAACATGAATAAATGCACAGCCATTTGCATTTGCACTTTGCATCAAAAACATATATGAACGCGTTGTTGCACCTCTAATAACTTTTAAGGCTTATTTTGCGGCGTTTATATAAGCCTTTTGATTGTTTGCATCAAGGAGCTGTAAAAACCGGTTACACTCACTAAGTGAATGAATCACGTTTGTGCTGAACTCTTACAAAGCAAAATCAAACGCTCACCTTCAATCCATGAACGTTTCTCTCAGTTAATGTACGCAATCTCACTGTCTGAATCGTCTGTCACACATGCTGTTGTGACTAATTAAAGGGGTCATATGATGCTTTTTTAAAGATCATTATTTTGTGTATTTGGTGTAACAGAATATGTTGACATGCAGCGTCTTCTCATAGGATAAGAATAATTATGAGACACCGATGCGTCATCGAAGTACTATAGTCCTTTGCCACATCAAAAACTATGACGTCAACACTATATAGATTTTAAACCCGGAAGACGAAAATAGTGCAAAAAGCTTAAAATGAACCAGTTTTCTCCAACAATTAAAATTAACGGATGCTAACATAACATTGTCTTCTATGATGTGCAACACAAACACCTCAGCTAAAATCACAGAAAAAGTAGTTTGGTGTTACTGTGATGTGACGCTCTCTCTCTCTCACACACAGATTGTCAGATTGTCATAGCAAAGTCAGAATTACCTCCTCTCCTAGGTTCACGAAACGGTCGTCCATAAAATGCATTGCTGTTCTGTTGTAAGTAATCTTAAAGATTCCTAAATGCATCTACTTTCGGAAGGCCAAATAAAGTGCTTTTGCTTTCGCCTAGAAACACACAGCGTCTCCCTGACAGGGCTGGTTCAACACTAACTGCGGTTACTGTAACCACGCC